CCCCCCGCGCGCACCCGCCTCTCCCCAGGGCGGCGGGCGTCACGCAGCTACGGGGAGTCACTCTTTTCTCCCGCGAGTCTACGCAGAAGGCACACGAACGCGCGAGACCGTCCAGCCGAGGGATCGCAGCCGCGATGGAGCAACAGCAGCGCCGAGGGCAGGCGTCGAGCCCTGGGCCGCAGTCCTGCCCCCCGGCGCTCGGTTCCCATCCACAGCGCTGCCCTTCTCGCCAGCTCAGGCACACCGGCACACGGACCGGCCCCGGCCCCACTGCTCGCTGTCACAGCAGGCGACCTCCAGACCCTGAAGCACACCCGGGAACAGCCAGGAGATCTCAAGGGCCTTGGGTCCCCCTCTGTCTCTCTGGGAGCAAAACCATCCCTGTTCTGCGATGCTGCCCCACAGCTCCTGCCCAAGGACAAGAGATCTTGGGTCACAGGGTAGCTCAGGGATGGGGCAGCCAGCGCTTGCGAGCCCCAGCTAGAGGCCTTAGCTCCTGGACCATGACGTCTCCTGCAAGGATACGTGTCCCTGCAGCCTGCGTTCACCAGACCAGTGAACCCCTTCCTCTCTGCTCCTTCTCCTGCGCTGTGCCAGTGCTTAGTTTCATCCTGCTCCACCTCCATCCCTCTCCCATCTTTCCTCTCTGCTCCCCCCATGCAGACACCCCTGACATCCCCCCGCCGGCACCCACATCTTGGCCGGACTCCGAAAGCCACCAAGTTTCGACACAAGGTGAAAGAAGGTTGTCGGATCACACACACAGCCAGCACGTCCCCTCCCCGCTACTTGTTTTGTCTGGAAAAAATAATCATAATCATAAAAAGATCGATGTAGCCAAGGGTGGGGGATCTGTCTCTCTCCCTCTTCATGACACAACAGGATGGCTGAGACTGCTGTTGCCACGTAGCATCCTTGTTGCTAAGGGTTGCAGTGTGCGTGTGTCTCCGTGCAACGCGGCAACGCAACTTGCTTCCCAAATCGACGGAGACGTTTCCCCCGGGAGCAGGGACTGGGGAGGGGATGAGCTTCCCCTGCTGCGACTGGTCCCATCCTCACCCTCCACCTCCACCCCAAGGCTTCAGCTGACCTAAAGTAAGGTCATCTGACAGACTTAATGATGACATCAGTTTAAAACATTTTTTTTTTTTAACAGCAGGATGAAAATTAATGGATTTTTCGCCCAGAAGGGACCATTCTGCTCATTAGGCTGATGCCCAGCATCGAGAGCCCACTGGGGAGCGAAGGGCTTTGGCCTCTGGCCACGCTGGGACCCGAGATGCACGGCAAAGTCAACCTATTGCTCCCAGGCACCGTGGGCTAAGGCACGAGGCCCACGAGCTGCAGGACCAGTTCTCGTGCTGCAAAAGGGATTAAGCAGCTGCAGGGGCCAAGCAACATCCCTGCCCTTTCTCGCCTGTGGCCAGCTCTGCTGCGACAATTTGCTGGACGAGCGCAGGACCCTCGCCGGGCCGTGGGATCCGGGCATGGGCAGCGCCTTGCAGCCGCTCTCCCGGGCAGGGAGCCGAGCAACAAGGGTGAGACGGGAGCACGCTGGCTGCCCCGTCCTTGGCCTCCAGCGGACCATTAATGAGCCAACTCCGAGAGAATTGTTTTTTATTGCTCTGCCTTGCTAATGACTTATCCTTGCTATAAGATAATATGTTAACTGACAACTCAGCCCCCACACATCCTGCCTTCCGCCCCTGCCACCAGCTGATGCAAAAACAGCACGGTGGCCCCCGGCAGCCCCAGCCACGCGCCGGGGCTGCGCTGCCTCCCTCCCAGCCCCATTCATAACGCTCCTATCCCTTCTGGAGCTGGTGGCACCTAATCGCATCCAGCGCAGGCTTCAGGTGCACCCCAAGCGCGTCAGGATCTGACACGCTCAGGCAGCTTCGTCCATCACCGTGGAGTCTAAAACGGCATGCCCGGATCCCTGCTTCGGCTTCTCTGGAGACACTCGCATGCATTGGCCCACTCCTGCCCCGTTGGGGGCCAGATTAAGCCCTGGGATGAACAGTGACTGGGAGCTGTCTGTGCCCGTGTCTGCATGGGCAGGACGGTACCTGGCAGCCACAAAGAGCTGTCACGGGCAAACACCTCACTCTGCCCTGATGCCAACTGCCGGGTGGAGGAAAGCCTTCTGCAGAGCGAGGAGGGGAGAAAACGGGGGGCTGCCTGCACCAGCCTGGTCCTCCTGGCACACACAGCCCCTGGCACCCTGGGCGACCCTGCCAGGGCCCACGCGCAGGGCACCCGGTCCGAGTTTTCATGCAAGATGAAAATAACATCAAACCCTCATCACCGTCTCCAGAAGGGAAATCCTATTCTTGGGCTGGCCCAGACCGTATCACACTGCTGCTGAGCGGCGAAGTATCAAAGGCTGGAACAGTTGAGTACTGAACACACAATAAGGATTATATCCTCCTACTTACAGAGCACCTTTCATCCCAAAGGCCTTATCTACCTGCCTGCTGCATATCAAAGCCTCCATGGCTGAGCAGCGAGATCTTGGCAAGGACTGATGCTCGCGTTGGCGCACCCACGCAGGCGACTGCTCTGCGCGCCGC